GTCCTCACATTTAATTTGAAATCCTCAATGAAATAGAATAAACTAGAAATCTTGAATTAATTTGTGAATTATAATTTTTTGGTGTGTGTGCGTTCTTTGCTTAGTATTTCTAATTATTCTTGCACTTTTTCTGCCTAATATATATCAGACATACGTGGTTTATATACAAGCAGAACAAAACGCATCACACTGTAAAAAGTAAAATAATAATTACACGGGATCAAGCAAAATGTGGCTGTGATTGTGGGATATTGTAACAAATAAATTAAGAATAAGTTAAGAATGGTTAAACGTATTGCAGTAGCCAATACGTCAAACGAAACCTTATGATCAAACTAACATAACCAAGCAAAAAGTGGCAGTAGACAACAGGTCAAACGAAACCTTATGATAAAAGAATCCTGAATGTACATTATATATATATATATATATATATATATATATATATATATATATATATATATATATATATATATATATATATATATATATATAATCTGGTTACTTAACAATTATCTAATAAGAATATATGCAATATTAAATGGACGGTGGTTAGCAGTGGAATCCGCGATACGCGTTCCATCATACTCGGTGATCCTCAGCTGAATGTATCTGAATCACCCAGTTGAGGTTCACTCATGGAATCGAACCCAGTACCGTGCGCCCCTAGATTTCACTACTAGCCTCCATCCATCTCTGCTTATAATGCTTGTGACAAAAAGCAATATCGAGGCAATCTTCACAGGATACACATATGTCAATTAGAGACTAATCAATGTCAGTCATAAACATCAATGGAACAATTCAAACAAACAATACCAAAGTCAATATGTAGTAATAGTCTATAAATAATTCCTAGCAGTTACCAATGTGCATTAAGCAATCATAGTCCATATGTTTCCATATCTGTCACGTCAAAATAAAACGGTGAAACTGGTTAAAACTGAAATCTCATCTCCATCGTTCTGTAAGTTGAAATTTTGACATTTTCAATGTATATACATATTTTTGCGAATGTTCACGGTTCACTTGCATGATGAGATTTCGATAAGTGTTTAACAAATTGCAAACTTATTATTCATTCCAAGAAACGATCTACTTCCAATTGTGATGGGTGCATCGATAGAGGAATATGAAAGAGTCGCTCCTCCATACTCGTTCATTCACGTTGATCAATTCGAATCACCAGCTAAGCTGGCAGACTATTTGAAGTATTTGGACAAGAACGATACTGCATATAATGAATATTTTGCATGGCATGGTCATGGAATCATACATGATTACGATGCCCAACCTCAATGTGCAATGTGTCTACTAGCTCATACATCTTATTCATTTGGTCCCTATTGGGTTCCGCGTGTGGCACGATGGTGGAATGATGGATGTAATGGTCGGAAATTACGTTGGAATCCATGAAACATGAATATTGAGAACAGAAACATTGTTTTATTGTGGATTGTATTAAATTGTAATGTACATAGTGCTTTCTGTGGTATAGATCAAATTACATTTGAAAATGAATAACATTTTACACATAATAACAATTCTGATATTTTTCATGAAAACAATTTCATATGGAATGATTATGGAGAACATAATGCTGTACACTATTCACAAATAGTTGTAATATGATGATGAGAAAGGTATAAATGTTCATAATAGAGAAGTATTGGTAAGGAAAATAACGAAAATTGGATTTGAGGGAGGGAAAGTATTATCTTTTCATATTAACTTTCCATCCTAACTTTCGACCAATTTTAATATCAATACCATGGGAATTAATAATTAACACCGTCTGAATTGTAGTTTCAACTGATTCACGTGGATATAAATGAGTTAATAATTGGACAAAAGTAAATTTTAGTCAGTTGGTTAATGGCAAAACATAGTCGTGTAAATGAATGGACAATAATACCAAAGGGTTTTTTTATTAGACATGTATAGTTTCACAATTGATTGATCACTGAGTGGTGATCGATATCATGTGTGTCAGGTACTTCTTAGTGCAGATTGGATGATATCGACCAAATTACAATGTGGCCACCAGTCTAGGTGACTCAACATTGCGTGCACTATGTTGAGATAAGATGGTCAGATTGAAGAATCTGTGAGAACCCCTTATAGATGTAAATGTGATAATTTAAATGAATGATATAGAAAGGGATTATTTACTCAACGTAATATACGCTATGTGACTGAAGGGTAGTGACGCTACTTGGATGGCTGGAGAGTAGATCGTGCATGAGCGTTTCGAACACGTGACACAATGTCACTTTTCAAAGTAATAATTATGTTGAGTGGAATATGATTCTTGCAGTCAGTGTTGTCTAAACTACTAGAGAGACAAAGTCCTAATACTTTGTCCGTTCTTTGTTCACCTGGAAAATGCGACATTTTGCAATTGACAGATAATTCCCATTTAAACATTAAAATTAAAACACGAAGTTCAGTGAAGGGATCTCTTTTCAACGAATTTATTATCAAGCTGTACAATTTTCATTCTTCTCATGTCCGTGTCGATTTCTCGCCCAGGATCTATCAGGACGAAACGGCCGTCCAGTGCTTCCAGGTTTTCCATGGTTGTCCAGATTCATTTGACTCTTGGTCTCAAATAGTGAAATTACTAACATCTCCACAAAACCCCTTCTGATAAATTCACTCTAAATAAATTCCAGTGGTATAAACGCGTTTACCCTATTTCAAACATCGTAATGTAAAACATAATTCAATCGATCATCATGTATTTCAACTTATTTTCCATTGTAGCGTACAACCAGTACATTAATTTCAATGACTCTGATGCCTGGTGACTTAGACCAGTAGTAATATTGTAACTCGATCGATGAAATTCGATCAGCATATGCTGTCGGCTACCACTCAGGGATCAACCAATTGTTGGCTCATTAATAGTAACTTCTCAAATGTTCAACCAGAGAAATGAGTGGCTATGTTTGTATAAGGAGAATTGTTTGATAACCTAATAAGCATTTAATTTGTCATATTGTCATCAACTGCTGATTAACAGGCCCTGGTTGATCTAACAAACAACCACTCTTATTAGATAGTTTCTCGAGTTAGAAATAACATGTTAGGAAGTTTGCATATGGTACGCTCTCAGCACTCTAACGTCAATGATGAAAAAATGAGCTCTCAATTATAAATTCCATCTTTGGACACTTTAGCTGGACAAGCAGGCAGTTAGTATAAAGTGAAAATATATTATAAGGAGGTAATGAATTACAGCGGATATTCTTCGTTTACATGATTTAAAGGTTTGTTAAGGTTTGATGAAGGTTCAGAAGTTGTGAGTTCATAATGCGTATGGTATAGAAACTCCTCCATAGGGTTAGGTCGCATTTTCCAGGTGAACAAAGAACGGACAAAGTATTAGGACTTTGTCTCTCTAGTAGTTTAGACAACACTGACTGCAAGAATCATATTCCACTCAACATAATTATTACTTTGAAAAGTGACATTGTGTCACGTGTTCGAAACGCTCATGCACGATCTACTCTCCAGCCATCCAAGTAGCGTCACTACCCTTCAGTCACATAGCGTATATTACGTTGAGTAAATAATCCCTTTCTATATCATTCATTTAAATTATCACATTTACATCTATAAGGGGTTCTCACAGATTCTTCAATCTGACCATCTTATCTCAACATAGTGCACGCAATGTTGAGTCACCTAGACTGGTGGCCACATTGTAATTTGGTCGATATCATCCAATCTGCACTAAGAAGTACCTGACACACATGATATCGATCACCACTCAGTGATCAATCAATTGTGAAACTATACATGTCTAATAAAAAAACCCTTTGGTATTATTGTCCATTCATTTACACGACTATGTTTTGCCATTAACCAACTGACTAAAATTTACTTTTGTCCAATTATTAACTCATTTATATCCACGTGAATCAGTTGAAACTACAATTCAGACGGTGTTAATTATTAATTCCCATGGTATTGATATTAAAATTGGTCGAAAGTTAGGATGGAAAGTTAATATGAAAAGATAATACTTTCCCTCCCTCAAATCCACTTCTGTATCCAGCATTTCTAAATACCCATCATGAACACAGTGAGTCACTCATGTACATGCATATAACACTTGGACATAAAAGTCAGTGATCAATGAGTATGGTGTTAGGATACCTGGATTGGCAATCTTGTGAGATCAGTTTAAGTAATAGTCACATGTAGTTATATTGATCCAGTGATACAGTTCCCTACAAACTGGCGATTCGATGAAATCATCTTCAATCTGAGCACTATCCCTGACATTTCTGAGATGCTCATTTGTTTATATGTATAGACTAACCAACTTGTACATTTACAGGATAAATTCTCAATGAAGTGAAAGACAATCAAATATTCATAGTTGGTGATTTTTATTATAAATTCCAGTAATGAACATACATCGTTATAAAATCGAACACCTTCACTGGTCGTTAAACATCAACAGTATATGACCAATCAGTAACTACGAAACCTCGCTCAAAAGACCGTGAAAGTGAGCAATGCTAAAGATTGAGTGCTTGAGGGCCTTATATGTGTTTATCTATTTTGCTACATGCTGGAAAGTAGGTATTGCTAAAGAATCAGTGCTTGAACTCCATCGAGAACGCATGCGTGATCGAGAAGTCGGGGTTTCAGAGATGGAGACCTGTTGTCAACGCAATGATAGAACATACAATCGTGCAGATGTGGGAATAGTACACTGATGATATATACTTTACGCATTGCTCTGAATCAATCAAGACAATTTCAGTAGACCTTGTTTCATTATATTCCAATCATTATTAATTCGTTTCTCCTTCATTTGAACCTACAGGATCCAATCAACTTTCCAATCACTTTTATCATCATGTCAGAAGAAATGATTAATAACATGAAAATCACTCTCATGACGAATTAGTTCCGAGTGACAAAAGTTGCATGCTTCATGCTGTATGCATTTAGTCTTTCATCAATTGTTGGTCTCACTGAGATCATTGAAAAACCTTTAGAAACTCAATGCTAAGCTTTGTCAAACTCACCGGGATATGTCGTGAAAGTTCTTTGGCGTATTGCATTCTTGGACTTTTCGGTATACAGTTACTCACAAACCATGCAACTTTCTTTGATTTCCCAGTAGCGAAGTTTCTAGAAGGTAAAGGATATCGTGTTTCTGGTCCATGGTGCTTCATGTATGGCTCATAGGAACCGTATGGTGAGTAAATCGTTGAATCCAGACGGAAGGAGATAGTGTAATTAATCTTGATATCAGAGGGATAAATTCAAGTAAAATGATATCATGGATATTGAAATGAATGAGCAAGTTAGTAGTTTTGATATTAGAATAATGTTTTAGTAAAGTGGTTCGTGGGTAGTGTTTAGTTTTGTCGTTTTGGATTATAGATTAACGGTACAGACCTGAGTGTTTTGATCACGACCTCTGGTGTGGTGGTGTATTTGCAATGCTCAAGAGTTCTTTACTAAGATGAAATATCTGTTCAGTGCTTCCTGGTTTTCAAAGGTAAGAGTTTGTGTATTGTATCCAAAATAAAGGAATATTTACAAGTAGATTAGTCTTGCTCGTGAATAAACATGACATATGTAATTAGTGACATCTATGATTCATGTGGACAAATCGAAATCTCTAACAGTCTATTTATTATGCAAATTCATTTGTGTCAATTAGTTGCATAGATGCAAACGAAATGATAGAAAATCGTCCCGATAATGGTGACATGAATGACACGTCGAAAGTATTTACGACAGGTTTTTACTGATTAGTTTAAGCGGATATTAGGCATATATATAACAATGAATAATGAACAAAGCATAGAGATCACTTGCTCAATGTATCTACGTCAACAGTGAAATCTACTGTTAACATATAAATGTTAGTATAAGGATTCGAATGAAGTAAGCTCCCGAAAATGTCTTGAACGCAGCCAAAGAACGATGCTGTCTAAGTTTTTTTTTGGGTTTACAACCTGTACCTATTAAATCCTAACTACAGGTAATATGCCTTGTGGCATATTACATAGATATATCAGAATATCCTCTAATAGTGTGGTTAATAATATTTTGGAAACTGTCGGTTTTCTTTAGAATGAAATTATACTTCGAGTATGATTTGACTATCACTCCTTTATATTGATATTCTGAAAATATTGAAGAAATTTTCAATCAAATGGTATTTACTGATCTAAATGATGGCGTACATATTATACGTTCGCTAATCGAAAACAAGCTAATTGGTTAGTGGATGATCCTGGAGGTGAATGAATAATCGAGTGATATTTAAGCGATCAACATTTTAGCTAGTGTCTATCATGTGATCTAGTGGTCATCACGCTACAAAGGAATATACGAATTGTGACTGTTCTTATAAGATTGTTTGTTAAGTAAGTTAACAAAAGGGCTTAACCAAAATTAACCATAATCGAAATTGGTTGTAAGATAGTTGCGATAATAGTGTAAAGTGGTGAAATGAATTCTATGGAGTTCCGCCAAGAGGTGAACATTATTTTCATTTGAATAATTGAATCTTCAGTTGGAAACTATATAAAATTTCATGAACTAATCAATGAATATGCATTAAATTAATGAATGTCTTCACCTGAATTCGAACATTGACCACGAATTCGAAGCTAAAATTGCACACGAATTTATTTATTTATCTTCTTCAAAACGTCCCATTATAAAATCAATCACAGTGTAACATGTGTGCTAAAGCAAACCAGGTTTAAACATTTTCGCTGGACAACTTCTACTGTTGTGTGACGCATAGGTATGTGTTTCATGAGAATTCATAAACTTCACACAATTAGTCCATTTCGTGGATCAAAATGAAGAATGGTGACATTATTCGTTGAGTAACACGAATCTATTCACACTTTGTAGTCCTCGTCAGCTACATACAACCGTAATGAAATGATAAAGATTAGTAATATTACTATGGTCAGAATTACTCACTTCATTTTCCAGTGTACCTGCCATAGCAATATGTACAGGCGACTCTTCTATTAAACTAAACCATAATTGCTCTGGAGGTCGAATTCCATTCGGCACTTTATCTTCTGTCAGTATAAGTGCATCAGCTTCTCGCCATCTGTTCATGTCAGTGATAACTGCACATTTCGAAGCATGACATTTTGAAAAGTTCATTGGTCTAAAAATTGTACGATGCCCATAGTTGAGAAACGTCTTCACCTGAAACATGAGTTGATACAAATTCATGTGTTGATTTTCACAATTTATTGAGCATCATATCTAACATCTATTTTATACATAGTTCAGTAATCAAACGCACAAAATATAATTTCGTCAATCTCATATCCAAGTGAACGGTATATGTCCAAATGTTTTATGGAATGGATATAGTTGTGAGCGGCAATGGAAACTAGGATTCGAGGTTCTTTCCTTCGGAGATTCATCAAAATCCAGACAAGATTATAAACAATGGGATAATTTACAGCCTTTCTATCAATGATATTTATCCTGATGGTTAGTAGTGATGGCGAGGTTTATTATTGATGTCATTCATGCAATTGATGCCATTTGAATGAAACGAACACGAGATGTGAGCATCAATTTGATGGAGAGCTTGAAACGGACGTTATTTCACACTTGTCATCCAGAAACATCTGAAGAACGTGTCTTCAACTCCTCATATATCTCACCATACACATTCTACTTACAAACATCATCTCTCAACCAAAGTTTTTGTGATGATTCAACAACAGACCTGGTAGTGAGTGGATCACTGTGACGAAAACTACTGTGAAATTGAACAATGTACACAAATATTTTGCACACATAATCTCGATCATTTTGAAATATCAATGAATAATTAGTAAGGATCAGTTAATTAGAAGACAGTCAGTCTATTCAACATCAAAGAATATTTCTAATAGTTGACTTACGGTCTTATTCACACCCAATGAATCATATAATTTCTCAAGTCTATTTTCTTCCAGACTATATCTCAGTGGGTATTTTTGAACGGATGTTTTACTGATAGGGGAATATATTTTGTGTAATACACTAGCAAGATCTGATTCTGACCCGTTTGGAACAGATATATTATTGCACGAAAATTCTATTGTTTTAGGTATTACATCATGATCGACTTGATTGATTCTCCATTGAAAAAGACTTGGTAAAATGTTGATCAACCATATGATCAATAGAATAATTGATACACTGTACAACAATTTGACTGTCAATGTATATTTATCATTTCGTACAACTATATCAAAACTTTCACGCATGATGTTTATTACAGAAGTGATTGGACGTCAGTTATAAGGACTGATCACCAGAAATGTGCGATATTATCTGAAAATTGTAAAACAGTCATTAAAGCACTGATAACAATCACTGATTACAACCTTTTATTAGTGAAATATCATAAGCCACATTATAACGCATTCATGTCATCTAGTTGAGAAAATATTCACGTAACAACAATCGTTTTTTTTTTGAATATATTAAGTTTACATTACCCATACCTTGGTCTATAGAATGATTCTGTTGAAATTGAAATGAATGGTGTACATTTCGGTCAAATATATATATATATATATATATATATATATATATATATATATACAGAGAGAGAGAGAGAAGGAGAGAGAGAGTGAGTGAGAGAGTATTACATTACGCCATTGCATTCATTAATTTTAATACCTTATTACTTATTCAAATGATCATTGGTGAATCCAAGTATATACCATGTATTCGTATAATTGATCCAAAGACCACAACAACAACAACAACAACAATACAATAGTAATGAATTCATTTCATTTCAGTATTATTTCATGAATAAATTGTTTATTTATTTGTTCGTTTGTTTGTTTTTGTGCTCTTACATTCAGTATTGAGCATTAAATATTACTCATTTTTAAAATTATATACATGAGATTGGCAACTGGTGGCCTGCTTGAATATCTGGGCTACCTGTTTCTGCCATCTGATTATTTCAACAAGTTATCTGTTTTTTCATTTTTTTAACTTATCATTATGTCCATTAATCGCATAAACTATTCAGGCGCTTTTATGAAAAGCCTACGACCTTTCGCTGCATAAGTTACAAAAAAGTACTATAAAAGATATCGTGGTGGTTAGCAATATGTGTTAAAAAGAATGAACATTAATCGTATGTCGATTCCCGAGCTTCTAAATTCTAACTGCCGATCACTAATCAACAAAGTGAACTATCTGCAATTCCTACTAAGTCAAAATATGTATCGTAATTGTGCTGTCATCACAATTCAAGAATCTTAGTTAAATGATTTACAGGATGACTACCTAGTATCACTATGTGATTTCGAAATTTATCGTCAGGACCGATCAAACAATAGAAAGAGGTGTGGTGGCGGTGTAGCTACGTTTGTAAACATAAACTGGTGTCGATCTTCGTTTGTGTGTTTTAAGTTTTCAAATGACTTTATCGACTGTCTAACTCTAAGATGTCGTCCAAAACATCTGAATAAATACAAATATGTTTATGTTACCAATATCTACGTGACTCCAGATTGCACATCATCTGCACTATCTGTTTTTGCCGATGAATTCACTGAGTTCGCTGTTACTGCCTTCAGTGATTCACTTTCAGTTGTATGTGATGATTTCAATTTATGTGACTGCAGCTTCCTTACGTCACTAGGTCACCAAAATGTGGTAGATTTTTCTACCCGTTTGGATGTTCACTTAGACTTCGTTTTCATTAATGATGTGGGTATATATGCGACTCGTAAACGTGCTCAATTGTCTAGCTCGGATCACTGTATGATTCGTGTTCTACATAAAGTAATATGGAAAGCATGGGAAGAGTACACTCTTACATCAAACCAAGAAAGTCAAATATAGGAATTACTCAGAAGAAAATATTCGAAATCTGAAAAACATGTTTCATACGACTAACTGAGAATTATTTACAGATGACTCACTGGAAATCACTACTGATGTTATCACTTGTTAACTTAAATTCTGTTTTGATATTTGTTGTCCCACTGAAACCATTTTTGTAAGTTTTGTTCGACTTACATTTTCACAACTAAAACGACTACGGAGGGTGAAAGAAAGAGTGTACAAGGAGAAGAACTCTAATGAAGTTCGTAAGCTAAATGGTCTGATAAACCTAGAGATTAGACGTCTCAACTCTATGTTTACTCAAAAACTCTTGTCTTGCGAAAACTCTCCAAGTATGTGGAAACTCTTTAAAGAACTTACAGGTAACAGACAGTTTAGGAGCGATAACCAGCTGAATGTTTGTGACTTAAATACGTCTTTCGTACGTCAGTCATCTGATGTGATGTTCCCTTTATCCACAGGTTTAAATAATAGCTGTGTTCCTAGTTGCACTGAAACTGATGTACGAAGATGTTTCCAGCCACTTAATTCATCTCGATGTTTGGGACCTGATGGTATCCCAAACATTCTTTTTAAAAAGTGTGCTGACGTCCTATGTTATCCGTTCACAACTATCTTTAACAGATTCTTCTCATCTTATCTCATACCGAAAATGTGGAGAAACATGAAAATAATTCCTGTACCCAAGAAAGCATCTGGTGATAAGAATGTAAAATTTAGACCTATTGCAATAACTTCACCCTTCCTCAAAACAATGGAAAAATTATTATTACTTCCACTTCAGCCTGCGATAAAAGGGCACACTGACCCATACCAGTTTGCATACAGGCGCAAAAGAAGCACTTTAGATGCTGTTGCAGTTCTGCATCACAACATAGTGCTCAACTTAGAAAAGGGTAAGAACTATGTTCGATGTGCTTTTTTAGACTACACTTCAGCTTTTGACTCTATACCAAGACAACGTTTACTTAACAAGTTAATCAGCGTCAACACTGACAGCTGGATAACCAACTGGCTGTGTTCCTACCTCTCTGGAAGGGAACAGTACACTGTGTTTGGAGGAAAGAGTTCAGATTCTCTACTGTCTCATGAAGGCGTACCACATGGAGCTGTTCTTTCACTTCTTCTTTTCTCATTTTTTCTGCATGATCTGCCATCTCCCACAGGAAACACTTTTGTGAAATATGCGGATGATATCACTGTATGTATGCTTATCTCTAGTATTCAACTCTGTTATAACTAGATGTCAATGATTTATGGACTACCAAATGCGCTGGTATGGCCGAAGGTGGAAAGAGTTAGCCCTCCCTCTCCAAATGCTCTCACATGACCACGCGTATACAGCCATTGGCACAGAAGTCTTACACACTACCTTCTCGCACCACGGTTTTTATTTACGAAATTCAAAGGACGAGAAGCGAATGTCCGGCGCAGTAACCGGGTTGGTGGACACGAAGAGTCCACCTAAGGGAGTTGGAAAACCCTGATTCCAAACCAATTCTGTACATTAGCTCCATGATCCTGAGGGAACAGATGGAGTACGAATCAATCGTTGGTCATTCGCTACCATGGGACTGCATCTCCTGAAGTTGCCCCATTGACTGTTGAATCAGGCCTTTAGGCCTGCCTCAGTCTGGGTACCCGGGAAATATCATAACCCACACATAAATCAAGTGATTCGTGTGGTGCATATGTATCCGGTGCCCTTTAGTACAAATATATTTGACTAATTAATTCAACATCCTTTATTGCTGTTATCTATGTTATATGTGGTTTGGGATGGAATAGACATTATGGGTGGATTAAATCATTTATTAATCAATAACTGTCATGTTATCATTCAGTTCACATCGAAAACTTTGGTCCAGACTATTACCATTCACTAAGATATTCATAACTTCAGTTGTTAATCGTTCTTTGAACTGAACAACTGTACACAAGCGTCTTATCAGCACTTGTGGTTTGGTGTGTGACGAAACCTCAGCACGGATTCAGAACGCTCGACTGGCTTTTGCTAACTTGCGTCATTTATGGCGTAGGCGAGATATCATTCTAGCAACCAGAGGACGGGTTTACTGAGCAGCAGTTCGTCCCGTCCTACCACATGGCAGTGAAACATGGCCAGTAAGAGTAGAGGATATTCGTAGGTTACTAGTATTCGATCATAGGTGTCTTCGAAACATTGCTCGTATATCCTGAGTAACTAATGCAGTTGTTAGGAAACGGGTACTAGGTGAGGATGGCAAATCAATTGATGAAGTAGTAGAACTTGATCAGTTGAGATGGCTGGGACACGTGTTACGTATTCCCAACCACCGACTGCCACGACGTGCGATGTTTTATGGTGTATGAGTAGGTTGGAAGAAAGCTACAGGTGGCCAGACCAAAACATAGTAAAAATCCATGAAGTCACTGACAAGTGGACTGAGTTGAGTTGGTAAGTGTAGACTAACTGGTTGGGATCCACGACACGATAGCAACCGATGGCTAGAGACGTTGAATGACATGGCTGAAAATCGTTTGCAATGGCTCAAGTGCATCCACTCTTTGTGTTCTCCCGAATTCTAATCTTCTGAATTCGACAACTGCATCTCTGTATGGCAACTTAAACAGATATGGGTTTTCCATGGTTGTCTAGCTTCAACTGACTCATGATTTCAATATGTGAAATTTCTAAGATCTCCACAAACCCCTTCTGATAAACGTTACTTACTTACTTACTTACGCCTGTTACTCCCAATGGAGCATAGGCCGCTGACCAGCATTCTCCAACCCACTCTATCCTGGGCCTTCTTTTCTAGTTCCATCCAATTCTTGTTCATTTTTCTCATGTCTATTTCCATTTCCCGGCGTAATGTGTTCTTTCATATTCCTCTTTTCCTTTGGCCTTCAGGATTCCATGTGAGGGCTTGTCTTGTGACGCAGTTGGGTGCTTTCCTCAATGTGTGTCCTATCCAATTCCAGAGCTTCTTCCTGATTTCTTCCTCCACTGGGATCTGGTTTGTTCTCTCCCACAGTACGTTGTTGCTAATAGTGTCCGGCCAATGGATCTGAAGTATTTTGCGTAGACAATTGTTAATAAACACCTGTATTTTCTGGATGATGGCTTTTGTAGTTCTCCAGGTTTCTGCTTCATACAGTAGAACTGTCTTGACATTTGTATTGAAAATCCTGAACTTGGTGTTGGTTGACAGTTGCTTTGAGTTCCAGATGTTCCTCAGTTGTAAATATGCTGCTCTTGCTTTCCCGATCCGCGCCTTCACATCTGCATCAGATCCACCCTGTTCATCAATGATGCTGCCCAAATACGTAAAGGTTTTTACATCTTGCAAATCTTCTCCGTCAATTGTGATTGGATTGGTGCATTCTGTGTTGTATCGGAGAATCCTGCTTTTCCCTTTATGTATATTGAGACCTATTGCTGCTGAGGCTGCTGTCACACTGTTTGTCTTCTCCTGCATTTGTTGTTGCCTATGGGATAGTATGGCCAGATCGTCTGCGAAGTCTAGATCGTTGAACTGCATCCTAGATGTCCATTGTATCCCGTGTTTTCCTTCAGATGTTGACGTCTTCATTATCCAGCCGATAACTAGGAGAAAGATAAAGGGTGAGAGTAAGCAACCTTGCCTAACACCGGTCTTCACTTTGAACGACTTTGTCAACTGTCCTCTATGCACGATTTTGCAGTGTAATCCATAATTTGAATTCTGTATGATATTGACTATCTTCTGAGGCACGCCGTAGTGTCGAAGTAGTTTCCATAATGTTGTTCTGTACACGCTGTCAAATGCTTTTTCGTAGTCAATGAAGTTGATGTAGAGTGATGAATTCCATTCAAATGATTGTTCCACAATGATCCACAGAGTTACGATTTGGTCTGTACACGATCTATCCTTACAGAATCCTGCCTGTTG